AAACTCTCTTGTTGGAGCTTTTAAAAATCTCTTGTTGGAGAAGATTTCTGAGAACACCATGGATAGCCAAGTCATCAAACAAATTTATCATAGAACAAATCAATCCAGTCATCTCACTAGAGGCACAAATAACCAGCCTGAAATTATTGTATTTTGAACACATTATGCAAAGACCCCAGCTCCCTTGAGAAGACCATGCTAGGAAAGGTGGAAGGAAAGGAAAAAAAGAGGATGACTGGCAGAAAGGTGGATGGACTCAATTACAGCAGCAATAGGTACAACGTTGGAAGACCTGGATGACCAGGATGGAAATAGATCATTCTGGAGATGGCCATTAAGAGTCAACACCAATTTGATGGCACATAATCAAAACAACTAGGAATAAGAAATGAACTCTTTGCTATTTTGCTGTCTTTTTCTAAGTCCTGCACCCCAAAACAACTGCTCTACCTAGGTAGCCCTCCACACCATTATGAAATATTAGAATGTAAAATCATTGAGACTATACTGTGTACTTTTGTTTGAAACTGAATGCAGGAACTAAGTGCAAGGGGTTGGACAGTAATGTGTTGACATTTAAGAGGCCATAATGGTGGAAATAAGCCTCTACAAGTGAATGGTAACTCAGATCTTCCTCAAATTGGTTTTCTCCAGATATATCACCCTCAGTCAACACAGCCAGTATGATAAAAAGTACAGCACATCTACAGGTAGTCCTTGGTTAATGGACAACCTTTCAACATTATGATGGTGCTGAATGAGTGATACTTACACTTAGTCCTTGAAGTTCCAGCCATCCCAGCACCCCCGCAGGCATGTGATTGCAATCTGGGTGCTTGTCAGCCAGCTCACACTTACAAGGGTGCAACATCTTGCAGTCACATGATTGCCATTTCCAACCTTCCCTGCTGGCTTCCCACAAGCCAAGTCAATGGGGAAGCCAGCAGAGAAGGTTGCAAGTTGCTCCTGTGAGTTCCTCCTGCTGCCTTTTCTCCTGAGGTGCCTGACTAAGGAGTACAAGATCCCAAGGTTCTCCTATGCATAGCATGAGCCTGCTTGCAGTACACCCCCACCCTCAGTAGTACACGCCCTCTCGCATTCTGCAGCAGCCACCTGGCCACACTTGTGCTGTGCTGCAGCAGTCATCTGCATGCCCTCCCAGACTCTGCAGCAGCCACCCCTGCCTGACTCTGCTTGTGCCACATTGAAGCAGCCACTTATGTACTCTCCCGCCCTCTGCAGCAGCCATCCCCTGCCTTGCCATGTTTGCACTGCACCACAGCAGCCACACCCCACGTGGCTGCACTCTGTAGCACTCAACCACCCACCGGCCTGCTTGCAAGCTGTCCAGGGCTTGTGACTTCCTGCCAGCTTCCCATTGACTTTGCTTGTTGGAAGCTGGCAGGAAGTTGCAAGTCACGGTCATGTTAGGTCCTCACTTAATGATTCACGATCCTCACTTAATGACAGCAACAGAGACTGCCATGATTGCCCTTGCTAAGCAAGGCGGTTACATGACATCATGCTTTATGACCACACAGCTTAGCAATGGAAATTCCGGTCCCAATTACTGTCATTAAGCAATGACTACCTGTAGTTGGAGAAGATTGGACTAGAGCAATAGGCTTTGACAAACTAAATCTATAGTCAAGTCTTTGGTCACTTTGTAAGTTACTGATTAACCTATATATCAGGGTATACAAGACTTTTAAAAAGGAAGGGGAGCATTCACTTCTGGGATTCTCTCATTTGTGCAGGTTGAAGCAGTACAGCTATATCAGTTTTATAATATGTGTTAGAGTAGAGACTGAGTTCTAGTCCTGCCTTAGGCATGAAAGCCAGCTGGAGGACTTTGGGCCAGTCACTCTCTCTCAGCACAACTCACCTCATAGGGTTGTTGTTATGGGGAAAATAGGGGGAGGAAAGAGTATTAGGTATGTTTGCTGCGTTGAGTTATTTATAAAAATAATGAAGGTGGGATAAAAAATCTAAAAAAAAAAATCAGTAAGTTAAAAAAAAGCAAAAAAAAAAGCCATACAAGGAGTTGAGCAAATTCTCAGGCTGGTAAGGCATTCTCAGCTTTATGTCTGTCTAGCAGATTAAGTTGGTTCTAGGCCTTGCAAGGTCAGAATGTAGAGATTTTCAGCAATCTAAAAGCATAAACAACAATTCCTAATTGTCTCCTGGGACAAGAATCAGTCTGGAAACTCTTTTACTACAGGTAGTCTTTGAGTAATGACCATTTGTTCAGTGACCATTCAAAGTTATGATGGTGTTGAACAAAGGGACTTACAACCAGTCCTCGAAGTTCCAGCTGTTGCAGCACCCCTGCAGTCACATGAATGAAATTTGGGTGCCTGGCAACCAGCTAGCACTTACAACCAGTTATAGTGTCCTGCAGTCACATGAACACCATTTGTGCCCTTCCCTGCCAGCTCCCTCCAAGCAAAGTCAACAGGAAGCTGGCAAGGAGTTGGGGTTAGTCTCTTCCCTACCCCCGGCCTTTCTTTGCTTGCACACACCATGCCCTCCTTCGCCCCCTTGCTTGCCCACATCCTGCACCCTTTTTCCCAGGCCTCCCTGCGCTTGTACACATGTATGTACGCACCCCGTGCCCTCTTTCCCTGGTCTCCCTGCAGTTGCATGTACATACCCTGTGCTCTCTTTCCACGGCCTCCCTGCGATTGCACACATGCATGCATGTACCCGATGCCCTTTTTCCCTGGTCTCCCTGTGATCCCATGTGTGCACATACCCAACGACTTCTTTCCACAGCCCCCCTGTGATTACACTCACACTATGCCCCCTCTCACACCCACACATGCGCACTCTGCACCCTCTTTCCACAGCCTCCCTGTTATTGCACAAGCCCCCTGCCCTCTTTCCATGGCCTAACCTGTGAATGTATGCACATATGCCCTCTTTCCACGGCCTGCCTGCAATCGCACACATGCATGCACATACCCTGCACCCTTTCCATGACCTCCATGCGATTGCACACATGCATGCACATACCCCACCACCTTTTCCCCCAGCCTCCTGTGCTTGCACACATGTATGTATATACCCCATGCTCTCTTTCCACAGTCTCCCTGCGATTGCATGCACCCTGCAGCCTCATTCTCCAGTTTTTCTGAGCTCCCACTTCACTGAGCACTCTCTCCCCTGACTTGAGTGCGGCCTGTGCCGGGCCTCCCTCCGCAACCTGAGGCACCCCCATGCTCCTTACCTGGGACTCCATCCACTTCCCACTTAATGACCCACATATCTTGGATTACAGTGACAACTGGGACTGCCTGGATTGCCATTGCTAAGTGATGCAGTCACATGACATTGCATTTTACAACCATATCGCTTAGCGATGGCAATCCCTCAAGTCGTAACTTGAGAACTACCTATCAGTTTCATATACTGAATCTTTCAGTGAATTTGTTGAAATTGGTATTTATTACATTGGGAGTTCTAGTACCTTCTTCACTGAAGCTTTCAGGCTGAAGTATGTTGAATAATATTTAAGTAGTGTATATCTAAGGGAATTTGTTTAAAGGTTTTTCTTAAATGCATATTTAGAAAACAAGCCAAAGTAAAAAATGAAACATAAATGTATGCAAACTTGTTTGTACCTGACTAATGTAGTAGTGAAGTGTGCAACTACATAAGTGCGAGTTTTTGCCTCCCCCAGGATAGTTGGTTTTAGCCTGGTAACATTCAATGAGTGCCAGCTCCGATATAATTTGTCTTCTCACACTTTCCTGTATTTTCTGTGGGTTATATCTCTCAGTTTGGAAGTCTTACGGTACATCTTTGATGACATGACTGAAAGATATCACAATAGTTATTTTGTAGCAGCACTGATGTTGTCTTTTATGTTTCTGTAAAAATTAATAGTACAATCAAATAATATTAGGTTCTTTGTCCTTGAATTTTATTTTTATTACTTTGAATATCATTTGTGAAAAGGAGAAATAGAAATTTAAGGAACAAGTATATGCTTGATTTACTTCAAATTTTCTGATGTCTTTGGGATCTTGGATGGATACAGAAAGTTTATCAATAAAACATTTTGGATTTGGTATTATCTACTTTACAGTATTTTTAAGTGAATAGCAATAATTAGGA